GGAGGTCGTTCGTCGGAGGTGTAAGTGGCGAGCCAGGTGCTGGATGCAGGTTTCAGGGGGGCGCCGACCAGACACCGAACTGGGGGAAGAACAAAGCTGCATTCGCATCAACTATCAACGGTCCGCGCGGAGTTCTCGGGATTGGCGCTGGACCCCCCCCCTACCTGGCGAGAATCAGCGAGAAACCTCCGTCCTCGTTGTTGTCCAAGTCTTGAACGATGGGGCTGAATTGACGACTGCTTTCGCCTTGGCGAACGTAGTCTCGGGGCCGACTTGACGACCGTTGTGGGCGCTTCTTCAGACACGCGCTGTCTCAGCCACTGGGTTGGATTCAAGTTCAAGACGTCGCAGGTCTGGGTTTGCAGGGTCCTGGTTTCCGGGGCGCTGGACTCCTGCCTCCCCGGCGCGGCCAGGGGGGGTCCACCGCCGATCCGAGAAATCTGCGCGGAGCTCCGAAAGTCTATGTCTACGTTGTTTTCTCCCTCCTCGACCTGGGCCCATCCCCCCCTAATTGGGCATAGAAGGATCTACTAGCACTTTGTGGTGACGCTGGAGGCTCACGTCCGACACGAGCATATAGTACACAAATATATGGGCGATGTCGGAAATCCTGTGCCCAAAAACGTGTTCATCTCGTGGGGGCACATCTTTTACTTCCGCCGCCTTCCGCCGAGCTTCCGCCGCCTTCCGCTGGCGGAGGCGGCCTCGTTTTACTTCCGCCGACCTTCCGCCGCCCTTCTGCCGCTTTCCGCCGAGGAAGAGATGACATCTCCTTCTACCCTCGAAGGCAATGCCCTTTTTGGAACGCCTTATAAATGTATATATGCGTATATGTATGCATGCCTGCATGCATGTATGCATGCATGCATGCATGCATGTATGTATGTATGTATGTATGTATGTATGTATGTATGTATGTATGTATGTATGTATGTATGTATGTATGTATGCATGTATGTGTGTATGTATGCATGCATGCATGCATGCATGCATGTATGTACGCGTATAGATATATTTTCTCTATATAGATTCGTTTCCCGAGCGGAATGAATGGCCAGGCAGCGCCCGCCACGCAACTTGTACCGTGAGATGCCTGAGCGTGCGCGTCGCCCTGGCGGGGCCGACGTGCACACAGTGCACATCGTATGCTCGGGTGCTGCCGGCTCCACCTTGCCCGCGAAGCTATAGGAACAAAAACGGCATCAACATGCAGTAGAGGCCAGTCCACAAGAGACCTTCCACAAGAAACCTTACCCTGAGACCCCAGGACGTCCATTGTTTTTTGGTACGGAGCGTCGCGCTCTCCAGCGCAAAACCATAGAAATCGAAGAAACCCAGGGCACCCTGGAGGCAAGCAGGGTGTTTCTTGGCAAGGGCCTCCACTGCACACTGTCGGAGGTCCGCACGGATTCCTTGGATCGGCGCCGCACCCCAAGCGCCGCCGGGGAGGCCCAACGCCGATCCGAGAAACCCGCGCGGACCTCCGCGAAAGTTGATGGCTATGCCATGTGTTGTTCCTCTAGACGTGTCCTGGCTTGCATCGCCACTGCGTCGCCAATGCATCGGCGATGCATCGGCGATGCATCGTCGACGTCGTCGATGCATCGGCGACATGATAGCTCCGCGTCGAGCCTCCTCGCCGATGCATCGGCGATGCAGCGCGATCCCCGGACCCCATCTACTCGGAACCCATCTGGGAGGCCTAGAACCAGGCATCCGGCGCCTCGATGCTTCGGAGACGCGGGCCCCCGACCTCTCGACCACTTCCCCGGGACCGGTCTCTCCTCCTGCGCCGTCTTGCGGCGGTCGAGGCTTCCGGGGACCCCGTGTTGGAAAAATCACGACGTCGCATCTCTGGGTGGGCGTGCAGCTGGTGCCCTCCGATGGCTCTGCGAGGCGCCGAGACCTCCGGCTGCTCCAGCTGTTCTACGCGTATGCGCCCCGCAGGCCTGGACCACTTCCCGATGGGCCCGAGGCCCAGCGAGGGCCCCCGGAGCCCGAGAACGGGCCCAAAACCCGCCGCTACGGCTTCTTCGGAGCGTCGGATCTCTTCGGGGGCGAACTGACTCAGGTCACCACAAACTCGGGCCGGTCGGGCTTTGCAGAAGCCTGCAGGGTCCTGCGCGCTGACCCAGGTCAGTGCAGCCCTGGCAAATCTGACGTTGCGAAAGCAGTGCAGCATCGCGAACAACCACCACTGGAACCCTGGACCCCATCTTTCTGCGTCATTTTTTCGAACGGGATCGATCTGTGAGGATCCGGGGGCCCGAAACGGGGCGAAAATGCCCGGTGTGAAACTAACAATTGTAACGCAAGGATCTCAGGATTTGCATGAGCCCCCGTCCCTGGAGCCCCGATGGTAATTTTTGTCGACACGCGGCGCCGGGAAGTCTCGACCCATTCCCTAGGACCGGTTTCTCATCCCGAGTCGCCCTTTGACGGTCCCGGGGCCTGGCAGGCCGAACACTCAAAAACACCCTCGTCCTGATTCTTCCAATGCGTTGGATCTCTGGGTCCCTGGAGCCCTGATCTCTGAGGGGCCCTGGCTTGCACGGTTTCCCCTGGGGCCGTAGGCGACCCGAGGAGGAGAAGGAGGAGGAGGAAGAGGAGGAGGTGAGGGAGGGGGAGGAGAGGAGGAGAGGGAGGAGGAGGAGGAGGAGGGGGAGGGGAGGAGGAGATGGGGAGGAGGAGGAGAGGAGGAGGAGGAGGAGGAGGAGGAGGAGGAGGAGAGGGAGGAGGAGGAGGAGGAGGAGGAGGAAGAGGTAGGAGGAGGAGGGAGAGTCAGGAGAAGGAGGAGGAGGAGCGAGCGAGCGAGCAGAGGATCGGCCGCGTGTTGCCTAAGCCCTTCGGAGAAACCCTCCGCCCTGGGGCGCCGGGCTCCTGCTGGCCCTCCGCCTCCGCCTCCGGGCACGACGCCGCGCCCGGCGGGGCCGCGGCGGCGCCCAGCGCGGCCGCCGCCAGGGCGAGGAGGCGCCGGCGGGCCATGCCGCGCGGGGGGGCGCCCCGGGGCGCTCGGGCCGCGGGCTCGACCTGCTCCTCCGCCTCCTCCGCCTCCTCCTCCTCCTCCTCCTCCTCCTGCTCCTCCTCGTCCTCCTCCTCCTCCCTCCTCCCCCTGAGGCACTGAGGCACTGAAGGCGATAGAGGGTCGCCGACGCCGCCCTGCCCTCCTCCTCCTCCTCCTCCTCCTCCTCCTCCTCCTTTTCCCCCTCCTCCCCCAAAGTTTGCATCGTCGCTCTGATTTGTATCTCATGCATAGCACCATGAATAATTATGATTCTCAATTTCGTGAGGGTGGTTCGAGCGAACTGCAAGGTCTTGAAGATTCGCTGAGTTCGCGACCAGCAGCTTCACGAGGATGTCTCAAGCAAAACGCATGGTTTTGTAAAAAGCCGTGTCGCGAACGTGGAATTTGTGCGAGGATTTATGCTCGTTCAACTCCTTCCAACAAGCTCCAGGGGAAGACTTCTCCAGATCAGCATGGAGGTTTTTCTAGACCCATTCAAGCATGCGAACGTAGATATCTCTGGGAAGAAGGCATTCACCTCCCAGGACCTCGAACTTTATTATCCCCAGGGTGCGACTCACCGGCATAGGGTTAATTCTGACCTGGGCTCGGACGCTGTGCACCAGTCGAAGGATATATTTTCTGAAGCTCTTAACGCTGCTAGTCATGATCGTGATTTCTATACTTGGGGTTACCTACCTTGGCTGCCGCCGTCAATATGTAACCATCGCCCCAGTGTTCGCTTGGGGCCTTGCTTAGAAACCTGGCCTGTCTGGAGGGACCAGGGGCCTGAACGGGTCTTGAGGGAAAGGGGCTGATGATTTGCGGGTTCGTCGATGCGGGTGGGCCATGGTGCGATTGGATGCAAACTCTTCTGGAGATTATCAGTTTGATGCGGTGCTCTGTGGTGTTTTACCCTTGAGCAGTCTAGCCCCCGTGCAGAGCTGTACTCCTTCTAGACGACTGGCGACATCGTGGCATGCTCGGACTACCTTCCCTTGGTGCAGGCACTCAGGCGCTCTCGGGGGATCGTAGCTCGAAATTACCCGATGATGGATCGCTGGAGCGCGATCTGGTCCCAATTGGATCGTGGATCGGGACATTACGAGTTGATCTGGACTAAGGCTAATGCCACAGCCTCCTTGCAGGAAGTCTGGGGCGGAGCCCGATCACTTTTCAAAGTATTGTGCCGATGACTCTGCTGGTGTGGCCGCTGCCAAAGGGGAGGTTGATCCCCGAGTATGCCAAGCTCGTTGACGATGTCGATTTGCGGACTTCCCGAGTCCTGCACAAACTGCTGGACGTCAACCAGACAGTTAGCCTCACCTGCCCCCGAAATAAACTATCTTGCTGGGCCTTCCCCCCTCCTCCTCCTGCTCCTCCTCCACCTCCTCCTCCTCCTCCTCCTCGTCCTCTACTCCCTTACCCTCTCCCCCCTCCTCCGCTAGTCTCATTCTTCTCCTTCCTCCTCCTGCACATTCAACCTTCTGGAGTGGGACTTTCAAGTGTCTGGGCGGCTTTCGTCGGTTCTCGGCGGTTTTCCCGTCTCGGGGCTCGTTGTAGCAACTGCGCCTCGCCGAGGGCGTGCCAAGGATGTCAGGATCGTGCCGAACAGCAGCCGGACACCCGAGCTATGGCCCGAAAACTGAGTGGCCACGCAGGCGGAGGAAGTGGAAGAGGAATACTAATAATACTGGCCATGCTAATAATACGGAGAAAAGATACTATGTACAATAATAAGACGAATATTCACCATAATAATAAACAAGCAAATATGAAAAATAATGGTACTAAGAAGAATAATACGAATACTAATAATCTTAGTAGTACGAATAATAATAGTAATAATTACCATACTACTACTACTACTACTACTACTACTACTACTACTACTACTACTACTACTACTACTACTACTACTACTACTACTACTACTACTACTACGACTACGACTACGACTACGACTACGACTACGACTACGACTACTACTACTACTACTACTACTACTACTACTACTACTAATAATAATAATAATAATAAAAATAATAATAATAATAATACTAATAATACTAATCATAATAATAATAATAATAATAATAATAATAATAATAATAATAATAATAATACGAATAAGAAGGAGAAGAGGAGGAAGAGGATGATGATGATGAGGAGGAGGAGGAGGTGGAGGGGGAAGAGTCTGCTGCGCGTTCACGGACCCCGACGGCCCAGCGCTCGAAGCTCCAAGGTCCGAAGGATCCCCAGACATCCGACGGTGTGAATTGTTCAATCCGCGACCCCAGAGGTCCCGACCCCCCCGCCAGGGGCAGTTTTCCGCTCCAGGCCCGCTTCCGGTGGCCCCCGGGCCAGGAAAGCGGACCGAAGGCGCGGAAAGCAACGAGAAGGCGCGAGGCGGGAGGGAAGGAGGGCAGCGGCAGCCGAGGGGGGAGGGGGGGGAGGGGGATGAGGAACGCGAGTAGATACAGGGGGGAGACGGCGAAGGTAGGAAGCGGAGGACGGATAGGAGGGAGGGAAGAGGAGGGAGAGGAGAGGGAAGGGGAGACGGAAGGCGGAGAGGAGAGGGAAGGGGAGGACGGATAGAGGGAGAGAGGAGGGAGGGAGGAGGGAGGGGAGGAGGAGAGGAGGAGAGAGATGAGGGGAGGGGAGGGAGGGCTCGAGGGGAGGGGAGGAGAGGGCTCGAGGGAGAGAGGAGAGGGGAGGGGAAAGAGGAGAGGACGGAGATCGCAACAGCTCAGACACGGGTGTCCAGGCCCCGCGGATACTGTCGCTGCCCGGGCCGCCCTCGCACTGGCGGGGGGCGCCGCATGCAGATGGCAGGGGTGGGGAAGATCTCCCCCCTGGCGCGGTCGAGACAAGGACCCCGACTAGGAGGGGGAGGAGAAGGAGGAGGAGGAGCAGGAGGAGGAGGAGCAGGAGGAGGAGGAGGAGGAGGAGGAGGGAGGAGGAGGAGGGAGGAGGAGGGGGACGAGGAGGGGGAGAGCAGCAAGTAAGCAGCAATGAATAGCATGTAAGCAGCAATAAGAAGTGAGCAGCAATAACCAGAAGTAAGCAGCAGGAGGAGAAGGAGGAGCATGAGCAGGAGGAGGAGGAGGAGGAGGAGGAGGAGGAGGAGGAGGAATAGGAGGAGAGGAAAGGGAGGAGGTCGAGGAGGAGGAGGAGGAGGAGGAGGAGGAGGGAATAGGAGGAGGAGGAGGAGGAGGAGGAGGAGGAGGAGGAGGAGGAGGCGGAGGCGGAGGCAAGAGGGCGGAGAAGGAGGAGGAGGAGGAGAAGGAGGAGGAGGAGGAGGAGGAGGAGGGAAGACACCCTGGCTTCCGGCACGCTCTGGCGCGCGCGCCTCGGAGCCCCGTAAGAATGAGAGGCGCCGCCGTTGTGCACGCGCCGCGCTCGGCGGCCCGGTGCCGGGTCTGCGCAGCAGGTTGCCAGGAACGCTCGCAGGGCACGAGGTGTGGAAGGAAGGAGGTGGCTAACATTCGGTCGGGCGTGTCCCCCTACAGGCAGATTTTGGGCGAAAATAAAAAAAAAACAAAAAAATACTCTCAGATGGTTAAAAAGGGCTAGAAAAATCGTCCCGACTATTTTTGGACCAATTTTGAATACTCCTCCTGTAGAGGGACAGGCCCGACTCAAGGCTAACACTGGTGCGCCAGCGAAGAGCAGCATGTCGTGCCAGGCGACGTTCCTGGAGAATGTGCCCCAGGGAGGGCAGGCGTGCGGACGGCTTGTCGGAGGTCCTCCCCAGCGGACCGTGCTCTCTGGAACCTGTCGAGAAGGGGCCTGGACTGCTCCTGGATGCTGCTCGGCGTGCGTGCGAGGCTGGAGGCACGCTGCTGAAGCGCCGCGATGATTGCGGTGAGTGCGGCTTCGCGATGCTGTGGAGGCTGCGGCCTGGCCGAAGCGAGGCGCTGCGTGACGGCACTCCTCCTGTCCGTGCGCTGCACCGGGGTCGATCGGGCACCTACACCCTGGCGGGTGGTACAAGGGCCTTCGGTCCCCGTTCCATGGTGGGGCGGGGGATCTGCCTGGTGGCAGGACGCACTGCGCCGGGGGGCTGGGTGTGCAGCAGCAATGGCCAGCCCAGCGGGTTGAGGCGACGGCGCTGGCCCTTCGGGCGCAGTCCGCGGCCCCTCGCCTACCATGCGCAGCTCCTCTCCCAGGCGGATGGCGTTGCTGGCGCAGCTGTGCCCTGGGGTGTCACTGCCTGCGTCGGGGGGACGGTAGGTTCCGTACTGCCTCCCGCGTGGTCCGTCCCAGTGTCGCCCTGCGTGGGTCGCACTGGATTGCCTGCGGTGGGTCCTGGTGGACCTCCACCTCCTGTGTCTTTGCCGTCGTGTGCCTGCTTGGGCGTGGGGGTGGGCCGTGGACTGTCGCCGTCCGCGTCCTGGCCGTCCCTGTCGTGGCAACCTGGTGTGTGGGGGGGGGGGGGCGTCTTTGTCTTTGTCGAGGGCCCCCTCCAGGCCGAGTGGGTCCTCCTCGTCACCTTCAAGGTTGTTGGGAGGGATGTACCATGGATCATCGAGTTGCTCGAGCCTGTCCCCTTACAGGAGGATCTGGGGCGAAAGATTGAAAATAGTCCAAACATACTCCCAAAATGCTCAAAAATTGTCAAACATCGTCCCCTGACCATGTTCTAACTATTTTTCAATATTCCTCATGTAGGCCTCTGGAGTGGGGTGGGTCACCAGGACGGGGCCTGGTGGCTCGTTCACGCCGGACCCCCGAGGTGAGCGGGTTGGGTGTCATCCGATGAAGTTCCGACCCGGAGGCTCGTCTGTCGGGGAGCCTTCCTCCTCCTCCTCCTCCTCCTCCTCCTCCTCCTCCTCCTCCTCCTCGTCCTCGTCCTCGTCCTCCTCCTCCTCCTCCTCCTCCTCCTCCTCCTCCTCCTCCTCCTCCTCAGGCATGGCATTTGAACCACCCAGCGGGGTCTTGACCGGGGGTGTTGTACGGGACCGGCTGTCGACATATTTTGAGGACGTGGCAGGCGGGAGAAAGTGTTGGCGGCGGTCGTATACCGCGACAGCATCGCCGTGAAGAACAGCCGCGAATGTACGTCTCCACGTGGCCGCATCGCTGACGTGTGGAGTGCATGCGGGCTCCTGGTGTTGCCAGCTCATCGACGTGACGGTCGAACGCTTGGGCGATTGGTGGGATGCGGAGTTCGTTGATCCATTGCTCCCCGAGGTGGCTTTGGACTTTTTGAACCATGTCGGGTCTGGCTTGGACCACCAGGTGGATTCGTTGCCAGAGGTCGGTCTGAGAACCCTTGGCTTGCGGGGGGGTGCCTTCGAGAAAGAGCTTGCCTTCGAGAAAGAGCTTCGAGCCCGTCGATGACGGCTTGGTTGTCGACGAAGATGTGGACGGGTCCCTCAGCCGTGGCGGTGAGGTGAAGGAGCGCCGGGGCTTGGAGTAGAGGACGGAAACATGAGGGAGGAGGGGGAGGGGAGGGAGGGAGGGAGCGAAGGAGAGAGCAGCTGCAGCCAAGGGAGCGCGGGACGCACGGAGGGAGCGTGGGAGGGGCTCCGGGAAGGCAGGGGCGGGGCAGGCGGGCGCGCGCGGGCCAGGGCCGCCTCTGGTACAGCTTCGAGTGCCCCGGGCGCCCTCCTAGGCGCAGCGGGTCCTGGCGGGCGGCGGCGGGGGGCCGAGCCGGGCCGCAGCCCCAGCGAGGTATGTAGGAAAGGGATGATGATGATGATGATGATGATGATGATGATGATGATGATGATTATGATGATGATGATGGTGATGAGGAGGAGGAGGAGGAGGAGGAGGAGGAGGAGGAGAAGGAGGGGGAGGAGGAGGAGGAGGAGGGGAGAGGAGGAGGAGGAGGAAGCCGAGAAGGAGGCGGAGGAGGAGGAGGAGGAGGAGGAGGAGCAGGAGAAGGAGGAGGAGGAGGAGGAGAAGCAGGAGGCGGAGGAGCAGGAGGAGGTATGCAGGAGGAAGAGGAGGAGGAGGAGGAGGAGGAGGAGGAGGAGGAGGAAGAAGAAGAAGAAGACTCGGCCTTGCGCGTGGTCTGTGCCGATCCCTGACCGCGCGTGAACCCGTGCAATCAGAGCCCTACCTCGAACGATCATCGATCGAGTGCGATGAGGTCGTGAGTAGCGCGCGCCGTGCAGCCTGTCGTACGTGATCATACCCAGGCAGTCGCAAATCGTGAGACCCCTCGAGGGCTGGGGGGGACACCCCACTGGCCTCCCAGTGCCGAGCCCACGTCGCTGCGGGCGACGGGCAGGCCTCCGAGGCACCCGCCCCGCCCCGAGGAGGGACCCACACTCCAGCAAGCGACGGACGAAAGGGGAACGACGCAGGAGAGAGGGCGACGAGGCAAGAGGGCGAGGCCAAAGCAGGAGAAGAGCAGAGGAAGCAGCGGAGGGGAGTGTGGGTCCCCGAATTCTGGAAGATGGCCACTCCGAGAAGACAGTGAGGACAGTGCCGACGGGGAGCAACGGTGCGAGGGTCACTAACGGCGCACCGCCGGGCAGTCACCACTCGCGCCGCGCCCCCCGCTCGGCGCGGCCTAGAGGAACGGGGCCTCGGGCATCGAGGTCACGTGGCAGTCAGGTACTCGGTGGTGGTCAGCGCGGGCGTGCACACAAGGCCGCGAATACACCACATAACATCATCAAAGAACGAGAGAGAGCGCGCCGAGGTCGGCATCAGGTCCGTGGGTGCGAGGAGGACGTCCGTCATACAATGTCATTCTGCGAGAGTTCCCGTGCTCTGATGCGGGCAAAGAGGGCAGCCCGACGAGCCTCCCACGGGGCGGGGCCCGAATCTGGCTGTCTTACTTCGCGCCCTTGCCCTTGCTCTTTTGCTTCGTCTTGTCGAGGATGCGCTGCGCCATGGTCTCCAAGTGCCCCTGAGGGGCGGTCCCGAGCTTGAGCTTCGCGTCCTCCAGCTGGGCTAGCTTGATGATCGACTGCTCCACCTCCAGCTTGCTCAGGTGACGCTCGGGCGGACCCCCTTGAGCGTCCGCCAGCTGCA